CTTTGTTCTTCAACTGTATCGAGCTTCAGGATGACATCTGTTGAATAAATTATGTTACAGCCGTCAAAACTTTGGAAATTGACGCATCGAAAGTCTCATCCGTCCCTTTTGCTTCATGAGAATGTAATGAGCCATTAGCCTTTCTAGGTTTTCTTCGACGGTCTTTTTGGGTAATAACTGCGTCATAAAACCTCTTGCAGTACTTTTTAAATATTTATTCGACTCGAGTGACACTACCCTCGATTAAAAATATTAATATAATCGATAGTCCATAAAAAATTTAGTAAAACGTTAACTTGAAATTTCCGTAGCCTAAAAAGTTGACAGTTCTAATCACCTAATCTCATTCGAAAATAAATTTATGCTTCAAGCCAAAAGTACCGAGGCTCCCACACCAACTTATGCGAGGTCCTTCATAAGATGTATTATGAAAGTGGTCCTCACAAGGGTTGGGTTCAATGGATGCAATGTCAATTAGGCGAGTCAATAACGTTGCGGTTAGTGGAGCAAAACTGATGGCAGATATCGAGTCACTGATAATTTATGTGATGAAAAAATACGGGGTCACAAGGAGAACAATCCGTCTAGGAATTGACGCCTCTGTGACACTCCCTTTTTTCTTTTTTTCCACCATTATTTATGATTCTTGATTAACGTCATAGGCGTAACAAGTAAAAGGCGCTCAATATTTGCCCTTTTGCACTTGAAAATGGGTTTGATAAATTATATTCGATCCTTTCTTGTTCAAATTTGAATTTGATTTAGACAAACCAAATAGATATCTCATAAATTTTTGCTCCACTATGGGAAAAATTTTAGTTGCTGTCAAAAAAGTACTAATGATTTCTTCAAATTTTACCAAAAACAATGGCATTCTCTTTTCATTTTTATCTGAAAAAAAGCAGAAAGAGGGGAAAATCTCAAAAACGTGCAAAAGACTGTACCACACAGTAGTGGAGCAGTGCATAAAGAAACAGAAAACAAGACGAAAGAATCTCCTCTCTTCTCATTGCCCTGGAAAATGTTCCTCGACTGCAGAGGCCAGAAAATTTGTGCCGTCGATTCCAGGAATAGTCCTTTCTTCCTTACTTTTTGGAGGAAAACAGAAGAACGAGTTAACTACGGATTCAAGCGAGTCGTCCTGTCTCATTTTGGCGACCTGTCCTTTTTCGTCCTCCGCCTCAGAGTCACGGGGTGCTTTTCCTCCGCATTTCTGCGTGTGGGTACTGTCTTCCTTCTCCGGTCCTTTTGGCTCCTCCAAACGCTCTCTGGGTCCTTCCTCCCTCTATGTCGGGGGTACACGGCTGATTAAACGCGCAAGTACGTAACGTAACGCAAATATACTGCCCACTCGCTCCTCCTTTCCCTCTCCGATCTTTTTCGGCTTTTCGCTTTTGACCCCCTCCCCCTTCCCCCCACGCTTTTTGATCTTCCTTGTTTGCTCACTGCTGCGACCTGTTCCCAGCCTTCCCTCGTGTTTTTTCCTTCTTTGTACATAAGTTTTCCACGTTATCTCCTCTCCCNTCATAAATTTTTGCTCCACTATGGGAAAAATTTTAGTTGCTGTCAAAAAAGTACTAATGATTTCTTCAAATTTTACCAAAAACAATGGCATTCTCTTTTCATTTTTATCTGAAAAAAAGCAGAAAGAGGGGAAAATCTCAAAAACGTGCAAAAGACTGTACCACACAGTAGTGGAGCAGTGCATAAAGAAACAGAAAACAAGACGAAAGAATCTCCTCTCTTCTCATTGCCCTGGAAAATGTTCCTCGACTGCAGAGGCCAGAAAATTTGTGCCGTCGATTCCAGGAATAGTCCTTTCTTCCTTACTTTTTGGAGGAAAACAGAAGAACGAGTTAACTACGGATTCAAGCGAGTCGTCCTGTCTCATTTTGGCGACCTGTCCTTTTTCGTCCTCCGCCTCGGAGTCACGGGGTGCTTTTCCTCCGCATTTCTGCGTGTGGGTACTGTCTTCCTTCTCCGGTCCTTTTGGCTCCTCCAAACGCTCTCTGGGTCCTTCCTCCCTCTATGTCGGGGGTACACGGCTGATTAAACGCGCAAGTACGTAACGTAACGCAAATATACTGCCCACTCGCTCCTCCTTTCCCTCTCCGATCTTTTTCGGCTTTTCGCTTTTGACCCCCTCCCCCTTCCCCCCACGCTTTTTGATCTTCCTTGTTTGCTCACTGCTGCGACCTGTTCCCAGCCTTCCCTCGTGTTTTTTCCTTCTTTGTACATAAGTTTTCCACGTTATCTCCTCTCCCTGCTCTCTTGGCCGAAATCTTTGTTTTCTGGATTCCTTTGCCTGTTTTCGGTATTTAGTCCAGCTTTGGTTAAATATCTGTTCAAATATCCATGGATTTGAAAGCTTTAGATTGAAACGAGTTTTGAGTCGTATTAAACAAAACTTTATTTGTTCAGTGAAATTTATATGCATTATTTCAAACTCATTATTAAATTCAAGTATAGCTGTTTTTTATTGTACTACTAAATTTTATTTGCCAACTTTGGTCGTCCTTCTCTTACGATCCTCTTTAAACTATTAGGTCTCTATTAAGAGATGACAGTAAAATCGAAAGAGCTCAAGCTTCTTTTCTTGTACTTACTTAATCCTCTTTTATCATTTTAATTGCAAGGCCAATCACTTGACGTATGCATTTATCGTAGGAAGCAATCGCTTACAGTTTAGTCTACATCGATATCGATCTTCTAGTCTCGTAGCACATAGCCTGTGTACACACAAAAGAATAAAAGAGACACGGTACTTTTTAGATAACTGCAGAATCACATACCCAACCCCCTCCCCCATCCCTCCTTTTTTCGCTACTGCAGCTCATCCCTCTATGGCCACTATCCCGTTCGCGTCCTTTGATCCAGCCCAGCTGGCCATGGGGGGCGAGAGTTGCTTTGGCACGGATTATTTGCCCTCTTAATTACATTTCGATCCCCGAGTTGATGTACATGCATCCACCCACACGAAAATACGTCTCACCACTGCCGATGTCCTGCCCTTGAATTTTACTCCGGGACATGGACACAGAGTTAAAAAAAAATAAAAGGAAGATGAGGGGCTACGTTCACAAGCTTTGCTGTACTTTTTACGCCTTTTTCGGTGCACGGGCCGTTTACCTGCAACTTTTTGGTTTCTTTTTTATTTTTTCAGCGGCACTTCTTTTTGGTCCACCTTTTTCTGCTTTTATTTTTATTCTTCCTTCCATAATGAGGAGGCAGGGAGCTAATTTATGATTTTATTGAAGAAAGTTCTTTACATTTTCAAGTAGACTCTTGAGGCGGGCAGAGTGTTTTATCAAATATGAGCATGTTACAGTGGCTACACAATTTTGAAGCTTGCCTACCTTTGATGTAACGATACCTATTTTTTTTTTTTTTTTTTTCAAAGTTTGTCAATTAGCTAGAAATCATATAAATAACCTTAAACATAAATAAAGTACCACTTGAAATTAATATGTAACCAAAGTTTATGTGTATTTCCTGCCCATCCCGATGGATCACCTTTAATCAGGACTTTAAAAAAAAGTGTAATATAAGCCTTGGAAAAAAAAGAAAAAAAAAGTACAGTTGGGCCGCAGAGTATAAGGGTGTATATATATGTACAGCGGCACCCCACAAGGTTGGTCCGCATGCGCTGGCCGCAAGCAAGCGAGCCTCGGCTGTGGGAGGAGGAAGGGGCAGGAACAAAGGAAGTTATCGCTGCGGAATTTTTATGTTGTCGAGGCGAAGGAATGTAAATCACGTCTCTCTCCCTTTTCTCGCTTATTTTTGCTTGTGTACGGTATCTCTGTTTTTTTTTATTATTTATTTTTTTTTACTTCATTTCTTCTTTTTTTTTTTTTGCTCGAATCGACGTTTCAGTAGTGCAAGCTTCAAAAGCTCTGTTAATGAAGAGTTTGCATTCGAAATGACCACACGCTCGATTGCTTTGTTTGCCAATAATGAAACTGTGCTTGGAATTGAATGGGTTTCAAATTTCTCGGAGAACAATCATCACTCGGAGAAACAAAGTTTCAAAAAAAATTTGTCTGGTTAAAAAATAAATCGACGCTCTTATACGAAAAAAAAGCGAAAAAAGCAGCTATTAGTGCACAGCTGAAATATCCAATAATGGCACTCGCGCCTATTGTTTGTCACAGTGCGAAGGAATTATGGAAGGCAATAAAATTTATACGACTCAGTGGCTCGTTAAGATTTCCCGATATTACAGTCATTTATAGAAGAGGACGATAACAACGTCCGACAAAAGGAGGTAGATCGATGTATTCTATTTTTGCATTCAAAGTAGCTACGAAAAAAAAAAAAAAAAACCATTCTTTTAAGTGTGCAATCAAGAATGTTTTAATGACCCGATGGTATTTGCTGATTAGTTCACACGATTATTTAGCAACACAAATATCTAAATATGATAGGGAAACATGGCAGTATAGTAAAATAATGCAAAAAAAAGGTTGACATTAGCCGTTGGACTTTTATAATTTTCTCAGTCCATACGCAAAGTAAGGACTCACGTAAGTTTCCTTCACGTTTGCACTTTCTCCTTTCGACAGCCGTGCGTTTGGTGGTCGTAAAAACTTTTCGTAATAATTCAGACCACTTTTCTCGTAAATCATCTCTCCGGAAACGCGTTTAATCCTTTGGTTCGCGCAGCCAAGACGTGCTTCAGCTACTGCAACTTTTTTTCCTCTACTTCGAGGTTTACACCGATTTTTATGGACTGCTAATAAAATTTCGTACATTTTTAGTTTCAAGTCACATTTCGTACGACATTATTTTCATGCTTTTCATGGAATGATTGCGTAGGTTAGCATATATATTGTTGCAAAACGTTTCTCGTCTTTGAATGAAAAAGATTTTGAAAATTATATAGTAATTATTTAATAACTGTTTTTTTTACAACAAAAATTGTTACCGACTCATTATTGGTGCCAATTTTACTTTCAGGTCAATGACCGTGGAAGATCGCCCGGTACGTCACGACACTTTACGAACACATCGATCTGTGCTGCTCCGCCCAGCCCCGAAGAACCAATCACGCTGTAAGTACATAAAGTATCTTGTACAAAGTTTGCCTGTTAAAACATTATGGCGTTAAATTTACAACTGTAGAAAGATAACCTGCGAAATTTCGCGTACGTCTAAACTTTCGTTGAAAAAAGTTTTGCTGACCGTTTAGTTTAACTATTGAATCTCCAAACCTACAAGTACTTGTTGATGAAAAAAAAAAAAAAGACTATGGTCATGAGTTCCACAACCAAATCATCCAATGAATAAATCATTTTAACTTTACTAGTTAGCACACCCCAAGAGAACACACATATACAGACCATAGCAAAAAACAATGCCAGTATGTCCCTCGTTTGAACCAACTCCCGGCCCCTTACGTGCTTTACCACCTCTAGCAGAGTGAGAGAGACAAAACGAGAAGTAGAAGAAATTGGGACAAGAAATAGTAAGCAGAGGGCAACCGGGTCCTCTCCTTCCTCTGTTGTTCCGAATCTTTGCGACCCGTTTCTGCCTCCACTGCCACGCCAAAAAAGCCACTCAGACAAATTAGAGGCACACCGTGTAGGCGAGTAGTGGCATTTTGCTTGTTATTTATGCCAGTCTCTTTTTTATCCTGCACACCCCCAGGCAGCAATGGCAGCGAGTGCAGGGAAACGTGATGTAGCACATGGAATGGAAACAATATGTCACTGGAAAGGAGTGTCGGGGGGACGGGGGTTGCAATGTTCTTGTGCTGTACATGGCCTGGCGTTATGCCTAACATTAGCAGCAGGACCCTTTTGCCTTCTGTATGGCACCAAGATCCACGAAGCATTTTGATTTTTCGGGAGCAGTAAATTTTGGAGATTTCCTTCAACTTGTGCATCAGATTTAATGATAGAGTTCTGCAATTATTGTATTTATTATAAAATTTAATTTCGTAACAGGATATTTTTTAATTCAGAAATTATTGGGACATGATAAGGTTAATAACAGAGAAACAAAGTAGCTTAATTTACTTAGTGGGCTAGGGATTTCAGGGGGAATGAATATTTTATGAACGTTTATTCCTAGAAGATAGACCATACGAGGTGCAATCAAAATGACGAATCTTTTGCACGTGGGACGAGTGACGCGCAATTTGTACCAAAAAGAATAAATGTAAGTAACCATGAAAGGACCGCATTCAACACCACCGAGTCACACGAAAACACTGAGACCAAATCGATATTTTGTTCTACTTTCGAAGTGGTGCCTCTACAACCCTTGCACCGAAAACCCCTAAATTGCACCGATGCCTCCATTCCCTTGAATTTCCACGTGGCCGGTCGCGATTCAAAACGACGAAGGAACGAACGAACAAGAAAGAGCTCGCATTACGTGCTTTTCCAGAATAACGCACCGACGCCCCGCTGGAACGGCCCCATCCTTCCCTTCCACCGAAGAGATCGCCGCGGGCGAGAAAGTAACCGAAGAGGAAAGAAAGGGGATGATGCATCTCTGCTTGTGCCGAAGATAGGGGCTCTTTCTCTCGGGAGGTCCACCACCCCCTCAGACTCTGGAGTTATTTATTGGGCTGGGGTCCGAGATTATGAGTCCACGTATCGCACTGATTTTTGCTGATAAATTTACTTGACGTAAGCCATCGTGACAAAGACCCAAAAGCAAACAAAACGTTTTTTACAAAAATGACGAGATAGCTAAAAACTAAAATATAATCAAACGCATCCTTCTATAGAACCGACACGTGCGCGTAGTCCAGCTGCTAAATTTTTCATGCACAATACGTCGATGGGGCATTGAGAGCTTTTCTACGAGTCACCGAGTAACGTCAAACGGAGATCGTTGAAATTGGAGGACAACGCGTGTATCAGGCCATAATATTTAGTTCACGTATTTCCATTATCAAAGATGAAAGTTAATGCCTCTTCATGGACTGACATATTGATACTTCGTAAGTTCACAATTATCGATTTTGCTATTGAAGCTCAATTTCAATACAAGTACCATATACAGCGTGTACATTTCGTTAGCTCAATTGTTCTTGTTGATTTTTTTTATTTTTTATTTTTTGTATGTCTGCCAACGCCTTGACTTTCCTTTTACTTTTCTTTCGTTTTCTTCATTATCCCGAGGCGTTAAGATTAGGCCAGTGCAGAGGAGACAAAAGTAGGCGGCAGCAAAAGGGCAGAGGCCATAAGTAACGGGGACCGTCTGGTGGAAGGAGCCCCACGTCTGATCCCTCCCCTCCACCCCAGCCGTGATTTAGAGAAATTAAAACTTTAATTCATGTTTGGGCTCGCAAGGCAGAGCTGTGCTCTTTACCCCCGCAACCAACTCTCTTTTTGCCTCGGGTCGTCTTGGTCGGTCTCCCTCGTCGTTTCGATCGCCGTGAAACCCATACCCAAGCCCCACTGGCGAATGCCAACTCTTGAGTAAATAGGCGAGCACATAGTGGAGAAATTGTTGTTGCACTCCATTGACATTAGTCTCTTTGTTGACTCTCTTTTGGTCTCTTTGTTGTATGCTTCTGAGACAAGATAGTTGAAAGTTGGCATGTAAAAATTTTTATAAATTATGTAAGTAAACGGTGGGTATGAGTGGCTGACGTAAGACCAACACTCGTGAATGATATGTACGTGTTATGGCTGTTTAGTATATTTGCAGAATGAAAGCGTGTCTTACGTATCGGTCTTAGGTACATCTTTTTTTTTTATAAGCTGATGTGTGGTTGTGCATGATAAATTTCTTTAAGGAATCTTAACGTTGAACTTGATACGATGAAGTTAATCGTATTCATTGTTGCTGAGAAATTACATCGTAATTCAACTATACGATTTAGGGTTTCTTTGAAAGAAACGTAAAACGAATTAATTGTATAGAACAATATCTTCTTTTTTTTTCTTTAATACATGATCAGATATAGTATTAATATTCCCTTAGTTTTTTCATCAATATTTCATGAAAATGAAGGACCACACGTTTCGCTTTCAATAATATTTTTTTTTTCTTCATTTTTTCAAAACCATACGTCAGCCCGAATTTTTCTCTCCTCTCAAAGTTTCAAAGTACATAAAAATTGTATACTGAGGGTAAGAAATTTTCAAGTGTACGGTAGGTACAGCTTTAATCCGAGAGGCGAATATGAAAGAGGGGGAAGGTTAGGCCAGGCAGGAAAGGGAGGGAGGACGTCTGAGAAGCCCCAGTCGCACTTATCGACCGCTATTAATGCAGGATATGAAAGCTCGAATTTTATTACGCATCAGCCTACCTCATTTAACTTGGCCCCTCTCTTTTTCTTTGTTACCCAAAAGAATAATAATCTTGCCCCTTCCATGGGCACCTAATTTCTACCCTCTTGCTCTCTCTCTCCCTCTCTTACTCGGTGCTCTCAATGTAATTGTAAACAAAAAGAGGTCCAGGTACGAAAAAAAAATCGAGGGTTTTATGGCGTTGTAATTTGACCGACTGCAGCCTGTGTTCGGAGTACTCCATCCGTGTATCCTTAAAACAAAGGGCGAACTACTGCTGCTGCAGGTACTCGTTGTCTGAATTGGGGCTCAAGTGGGTACTCGTGAAATTTTCGGACGTGAATAATCGAATCCGTGAATGGCGAGTTGGTCCGGACAAAAAATTCATTAGCATGAGTAATTGGCAGATCTACCCTTAATCATTTTATCATCAATATCACTGTATTTCTTTTTTCTTAAGATCTTAACGTATAGATAACAAAAGCCGGTTTGTTTAAATTATTTATGATGGTTAAAATAAAAGTTAACGTAATAATAGTCATAAAAAGCTGTATGAGTAGGCAAAAATCTCTAAACAATGGACGACCAGCTGTTTCGCAGGTGAAAATACGCAAACAAGACCAAACCCATTTTTTTTCAACTGGTCGTATATTTTCTTGAGGGACACAGCAGTAGAGTATACTCGTATAATGTAGTTACGGCGGATGGAAGAGGGTCGTGCTACTTGGTGTGCGTGTTGCTACTTGACTCTAACATACGTAAGTATATATACGTGCACAACTTATAGTTGTACGTAGCTAAGTTGCTCGACGTTTGGAACCAAAATGCCATGGAGAGAGCTAAGCCATGCGGCACCCAATGGCACGGTATGTGAGGGCATCAGCATAATGGCCCCTACTTTTTCTTATGGCTTTTAGGCACCTCGTAGACTGTCACCCTAGTCTTTATAGCTTCTCTCTTTTTTCTCCGTATTTCGTTTGACTAACTGCATCATCGGAATCATATGGCACTACAATGGTACTGTGATAAATGTCAAATCGTTTGTTTTCCCAATGCTATCGAGTTTTTTATCGAGATGCAACATCGCCTTTTTTACATCTGAAAGTCATGTACTTCTTGTTGTTACCATCGTCATGCATTAAATACACAAAATGGAAATCAACATTTTTAGAATGACTTTGCCTTTGGATGTCATAATTATTATCCATATATCAAAACTATCGTCACACACGAGACGGAATTTTTTTCTTTTTTTTTCATCGACGGCCTCGCACAAAAGTTTTGTCATCCCGTTATTCATCCAGTGTAGCGCGGACACAATCGATGTCTCAATTTAAAAGCCCGACGCACATGAATTTCAGAGCAAGAACTGACGATATGTGTTGTACGGACGCAGAGAGGAGCCAGTCAATTTGCACAGAGAACAGATAAAAATTCAGTAGCTTGAGCCAATAAAACAGGCACCCACTCTCCTTTTCCCGTATACGTTTGGTGGAGAATGGGAGCGGCTGCCCGTGTTTCGTGAATTACTTCTTCTGGCCTCGCTTTTGCGCTTCGGCTGCAATATGTGCAGTTAGCGAGCGAAATATGAACACAGAAAAAATGTCACGGAGAACGGGAGGACGAAACGGATGTGCAGAATGCAGACAAGCCCCGTGGCTACCATATGACGAATACAGACAATGGCATGCCACTCTTTCATGCTTTGCTCTGCTTCGTCGATGTTTCATTGCAGCTTTTTCTGTACCACACCACTACAGTCGAATCAGTCGCTTTTATTGAAGATATATCATACCAGGGTA